TTCATGACAAATTTATAACCATGTCGACTGGTTACAGTTTCCGCGTTGTTGCCTGACTCGATAGTGACTGACTGCTTCCGCCATGTGGTGGGTATTTATCTTCAATCCATGATCTCCAAAAGCATCTTCTTGATCGAAATAGATCTTGGTGGCAGCTTTCTATACGTAGATGGCAGTGGATTCAACTCCATATGTGTCGATCTTCGTGATGGCGTCGCGAACGCTTCAGGACGCGACCACGCTATATACATGTCCGCTTAATTCTGGTTGCCTAACCGGCAATATTGTGAAGGCGTATCCTTGTGTTGTTAGTTACGAGAGCATTACAGTGTTGATTTTTAATTACAGCAGTGCCCAATGACGTTGATTTAAACAGCGCATTTTTGCCATCCAGTTTCCCAAGGTTCCATTCTATATCCTGTAGTAGCATTAATGGAGGACGGAGTCTTTATTATTGTAAGTAGCTATGAGTAAAAATCCCGAATTTTTTCGTGATCTTAGTGTTGCTAGGAGAAAAGTGGTGTAGAATTATGAGAAGCGATAATGTATCTCCCAAAAATAATTTCAAATTGTTATGAATAATATTTTAATGTAACTGAACACAGAACTATGATTTTTCCCAAAAGTGATTAATTTTAATCTACCTTCAATTACAAGAATTATATATCATAAAAAAGTCTATTTTCGGAAGATTAGCCGATTGCGTCTTTTGAAAACCACTTTTAGTCATCATTGACTGTACTCAGGAAAGCTATATCTCAAGGAATAAGTCAGTCTGTAGTCTAAAGGTCACGAGAGAGTTGTAAAAACAACCCAATAAGTAACTGAAATTATTTCAAATCGATGAAACATTAGTAGATTGACAATCAATGCCAGCGTGAACAAACGACTGCCATTTCAAATCAGACTGATCAATCATGAAGTAGTTGGCTGGCTGGCTGAAATGGTGTCCTCATGCCAATAGCCTTGCGTTTCGTAATTCCCACTTTTATATCCTGTGCCATTGGGCGAGAAGTATTGTATTCGCGAAAAATTATGCTATGCCAAAGACGAAAAAGCTTTGTAGGGGACAAATAAGAAAGAAATTTAGGCATTAAAATCACACATTCTGGCATCTTTGGTAGATCTTCAGATGTCTCTGAGAGATGCATATCCACCAAAAATACCGAAATTTTCAGTTTTGTCCAAATTACTTTCATATATGTCCATTTTCCTTCAAATTTGACTTTGGAATCGTGTACACACGAAAAAATGCATTTAAAAATACAACACCTTTACTTTTTTGTAGACCTGTGGATAGTTTTTATGAGTTTCCTTTGAAAACCCCCAACTAGCAAAGTAGTGCTATAAGCTTATGGTAAAAGAACCGTTCAGCCATAAAAGCTCTCTATTCTTGTTGCCCGAACACCAAAATACTGGCTTAATGTTGTGTGGAATGCAAGTTTGCTTTCTGCAACATACTTGCTCTAACATGAGGTGCATAGTTACACAACACCTTATAGGACAAATTTTTAACTGTTGCATAAAGGTTTATACAACTATTTTATACGGCATATTTGCAGGTTAGTCAAAATGGTTGTCTTATGACATCCATGGTAACGTTTATAAAACAAACCCGAGCCTTGTTGTTTTGCTGTGCAAATTTACTACTTCAGCCAACAAATTGCTCCCAACGGAAGCACTTATACAACTGTTGTTTAGTAAATGTTAAAGGCTGTACATATTATGCTAAATATGTTGGTATACAACTTCACCATAACCGAACTTTCTGCTGTCATATTTTTGTTAAAATGCCATAACCAATGTTTTAAGACAAACAACGCATGCATATTGGTTAAAAAGGCTTTATCAACTGTTCAAACAGAAGATATAGATCTGGTACAAATTCTAGGTAAATCATTCGACTCTGTCGGTATTTCATTTCTGACATTTGTCAAATTGTTGTATAACACCTGCAGGCAACACCAAAATATTCTAATAAACTAAAGACAACATGGACGATGCCATGATTACACACAAACACCCGCCATATTGGGAAACATTTATTCCTCTATTTGATATTAAAGAATTATGTTTCAGTTCGAAATTACAGATATAAAGTGATAAACATTAGTGTAATTGTGTCTAAATATAGGATTTGTGGAAGATTTAACGCAGATAAGCTCGGTTTTCCATCTTAAAAATCTAGACATACTTTTGATCATTATCAAAATATGAAACAAATACGAAGCCCGTAGAAATTACGTAACTAATTTGCACGATAATCACAATAAAATTTGCTGCGCAAGTAATTCAATAGCCCTATATCACAGTGTAGAAGCTTATCATATACCTGTGTATGAAATTCACAATGGCCGATATGTAAGTAAACAAGATGACTGTATTGTGTTAGTTATATATTCTTCACTTTGTCTATACAATACATAAGAAATAGTTTGGTTGCAATAAAGTAGAATCACCTAACAGAATAGTTGTATAGTTTACAAAAACTGAATCTTGCACTGACGCAAATGTCCTATAGCGGCTGCAAGAGGCTTACACTTTTGTTGTATAACTGTTACCTGAGAGGGTTTTGCCAATGTTCTTACAGTATACAATGCTGTGTAAGGAATACTGAATAATCATTCTTGCACCTCTAATAGGAGTGACAATTGTTAGTTGGGCCTCCACCCACTCTCAATTTTTCAGATTCGTGCTTATCATGAAAAAATATATAAGAAAAGCATAGTTGGACTCCAGGTGCTCAATATATTTTTTTTATTTTGTGTGTCTGTGTTATTGATATTCGTAATTTTATAGCGCTCAGGTATAAAATGAGGTTAAAAGCGTCGGTCGGTAGAGCTATAGACTGTAAATAAAAAAATACCTAACTGATATTTTAAGCTCATGAATATTTGCTTTTGGCGAGGAAAGTAAAGATGAAGTCTCTTGACAATATTAAAAATCATGTACGCCAATGTCCGATGGGTCATTTAATGAAACAGAACGGTGTGTTGTCGGCGCGTGTGGTCCGGAGATGGATTATGATATTAACACCGCGGCTGGTCGGCCGGCCGGCCACTGAGGCGATACCACGGAACGAATTAAGGCGATCAACCGATCCACTATGCACTATGCCGACACGCCGCCGACAAGCTGTTCCCAGGTGATCACACACAAGACAATGAGAACATCAACCCAGATACCTAATTGTTATTTCTTTCGTCTTGGTCTCTATAGTCTACACAACGACTTAACAGTAGGTAGAAGGAGCAACTCAATAACCTCTACTACACTACTCGCGAAGTCTCTTTGTCGAAGTACTAGTCAAAGTTGGTAGAAGTCCGTAATACGTGACTTCACACTCGTGCAACTTAGCGAAGTGCTGAGTCGCCCGGACGCCAAGCAACATGAATTACGTTGAAGTGGTCTCTGCCGTTGCAATGTGCACTCTCGCGTATTATAACTACATGCGTATTTTATTACTTAGAAAAATTGTAGTAGATCGTACACAATCTAGATAAGATTAATTTAAACAGTTTATTAATTACTTTTAATCGTTGGCTAATTTAACCCAAGCTATTGTACACTTGTTGTGAATTCGTTTTGAAGCTGTAAGTGTTGCTTAAACGTCAGCGAACAGTGATCATAGCGAGCAAACGTGGGATGAACTATTTGCGCACTAAAAACTGCCTAGTCTGCAAGATGACACTTTTTTGACGTTTTTTAGGTTTTTTTGGATAATAGTCTGCCGGACTCAAATAACTGGCTCCGAATGACGTGTTTAGAGGAACAACAATTTGATCCTGTGACCACTGCGTACCACTCATTGATTTTTTGGCATCAAACGGCGTCAAAGTGGATGGATTGCTGAATTGTCGAAAATGATAAAGGTTTCTGTGGAATGCAAAAAGCCGTTTAAACAGAATTATCGATTGGTGAGTGTTTATATATTATAGTCATCGACATTACTTTTAGCTTTTACCTCGACAGCTGTGAGGTAATTTTGATTTACTTCAGAGCAAAATTTTGTTGACAAGATTGTATACATATCATCAACAACGAGAAATGAAAAGGGCTGAACTATACTTTAGCTCATATCGCAAATATTTCATTTCTTATTTTAAAATGAAAGATTAGGATGTAACTTGCATTTTTTCTTTATATTTATAGAACTTCAAAGTTGCATTTTTGGTGGTAATACTCTAGAATAGAATACTGTTTTATATGCTGTCTTTCTTTGCTTTTTGTACAAAAGGATGCCCTAAGTCTAAATTATAAGAATATAACATACACTGTATAGTAATAAGGAAAATTGATATGAAACTGTGAAAAATCGTAATTTTTGGCAGAAAAAGGTTCAAAACCAGACATGTTATTACACATTAGCTTACAAAATACATACGTAAATGATGGTATTTACTTGGTAAACTGTGTAGAGGTGTTATACTCGTAGTCTTACCATGAAAAGTATTGGACGCAAGCTAAATTCTTTTGTGGATACTGAAAATGTCCAAATGAAACTTGAAATTTGAGTTTTATCTACTTCAATTTTGAATTTAAAAGTTCTTCGGAAAGGTCCCTACCTCCGCGATTTAAATAGTAATTTTACATTCCTATTTCATTGCAACGAGATTCTAATGAGGAATGACATACTTCCAAAAGTTTTTATTGGATAAATTCAGTGACAATAATATAGTAGTAGTAATTTCCATATTATCCTCAACCAGGTATTTGATTTTATCAAAAAATCTGCTCAGATCACGACTACTATTTAGGAAGTCCGGGTAGAATTCAAGGAAGGTGTCCCACTACTTCCAATATCAGGTATTCTGCTAATGCTCCTGTTTGACGAAGACAACTTTTCATATTTTTCACGATACAAAATCACGACTTAAGGAGGGTTTTTCATTTACTAAAGCATGACTTGATGATTCATGTTGGACAAACAATTACCTCCCTCAGTGAATGACCCTTCGGTTTTTTGACTCACAAAGTTTTATCAACCAAATCTCACTTACCATTCTCCCAACCTGGTTATTATGCAAGTTAACTCTAGATCGTATATCCTCAGCCTGGCTCTCTGCGACATCCAGGAAGGTTCTGGCAAACTTCACCCCATACCTTGCGTTGTGGGAGCACCCCGCCCATTTCCATCTGGGTCCCCCTGCGGCGCCCTTAGGGACCCTTTCGCAGCCACATTCCGAGATTATGCCGCTGGAACATGCGCGGGCTACTGCGATGGCCACTCCGGCAGATATCATGGCGTAGGCAAATGCTGTCTCCCGAAACCCTGAAAAAAAAAATTGTTGCATCGTTCATCTGTAGAGGTAGAAAGATGGATTCAAGTAGGTTTGGCGCAAGTTAATGGATCAAGTCACATGCCCAAGCAATTATTCCATTTGAAAATTGCCCTACCGAAACTGCCGGCCATCTGGCAACGCCACTGAACCACATTAGCGGTTAGGCGCAGACAGAACTTTGTGCATATAGGCTGCCGTGCTACCGCGACTGATACGCGACGCAACTATTGTAAATATTTCTTGAAGGGCAAATTTCTATGTAAAAAGGTTCAAATTCACGAAATCTGTCACAATACTGTAAACTAGAGAAACGATGGAAGAAATAATACGTGCAATACCAAAGCAACATGGAAACTAGAGTAAAGAATTAAATGGATAGCTGCTGTAAAGAGGAAAAAGGAAGTATCGTAACTCAGTTTGATATTAGTGAATAGATTACTCCAGGATCGTCTGGTCACTAAACGAAACGACGCGTCTATTAGAAGAAAAAAGCATAAAGTGCCACCTATTACCAGAATCGAACAAAGCGAGAGTGAACACAGCAGCTATCGGTTGGAACTGTGAAGGGGCCACAGCGATGACCCGGCAATCAAATGCGAATTGAGATCTTTACAGTTCCAACGGATAGCTGCTGTTCACTTTTACAATGGTCGATTTTCGTAATAGATGGCATTTTGTGCTGACTAATTTCGACATATCTTATACCTCAGATACAGGATAGTTGCTATGCTTTTGTTCGTTGTTCCACTTGAGCCAAGCCTAGCCCACGCTGATGAGTTGTCAAAAAGCACGAAACAGCTGTCCAACGGTTAGCCAGCTGTATCCGGATGAACGGAAGCAGCATGATTAGAAACCACGCATGTTTGGATTTCTTTTTTAGAAACGTTTTGGCATAGCAGCATTCTTCAAGGTATAACTAAAAATGACGACAATATATTTTATTTTTGTCTTCCAGGTGACAGTTTATTTGTTTTCTTTTCTTCGCTACTACAGTTTTGTTCCAGCCCGTCGAAGAATCGTCGTGGAACATTTAGTAAAAATTGTTCTAACGCCGCTGGTTATCATAACAGGATGGTTATCTAGTACCTGAGATCGTTCTGGAACTGTTTTGTTACGGTAAATTCAGCATATGCGTTAAAAGCGTACGGGTCTGGTACAATACCAAAACTCAAGGTCGGAACAAAACTTACATGTGTCACGCGTTACATTATTGGTGAATATATTTTATTTTTACTGTATGCAAAAACTACATTTATCTGGAATTGAAAACAAACAACAAAATAATTATATTACGCTGACGTAAAGCTAACTGAAAAATAAAATTTTATTACGTAGTTAGGTACTCATCACATTTACTATTTTGTGAGGAAGTTTGTGTCACAGTTGTTTGTATCAAGATCAGAGCTGTATCTTTGTCCGTTCATCCTAAGCTCCTTCTTTTGGGTATTTTGAGGTTGAAAGCTTGAATCATGCTTCATGGATTCAAATCCCATATCTATCATCCCAGTCATTTATTTTTCAATTACGCAAATTACTTTCTTTGATATCCACCACAAACTTTTTATGTAATTTCGTTTGGTATTATTTGAATTAAACGAAAAACAGGCCGAACATTGTTATCAAAAGATTCAGAAGTGACAGGTCCCGACTCCCGAATAATTACAGACAATAGGCGGGGCTGCAATCGCTCACACAGCGAGATTCGAAACATACATGTACTACATAATCACAACGTTTCCAGCGCCAGTCCAGCTCGCGACAGGCTTATCTTCTACCTTCATTACCCTCTGACACATGTACTGGTAATATTTCATTATAGCATATCTACCACATGGTACTTTAACATTCAAGGACAAGTGTATAGGGTAAATCTGTGCGTGAAGTATCTAATAGGTGTGTAGAACTACCTTGGATAGAAGCATATAAATATTCACAAAATACCTAGTTGGCTCCTGAAAAACATATGTGCGACGACGGGAAATGGTTGCTAATTATATAACACTCAATTGGTGTACGTCTAATTGCAGGTAATAAGATTACAAATTAGCGATCATTGGGCATGCATGGTGCGTTGGTTAATTGAGTGATTAGCATTTTGAGTGACGAAACGTTATCTTGTAACAAATTATCATCGGAAAAGGACAATTTGAACGACAGGAGCCGCCAGTGGCAGTTCAGTTATGTTAAGAAGAGAATGTCCTTAAAGTCAGGACTCTTTTTGACATAGATACAGTTCATACAACAATAGGCAAATCTCCTTAGTAACATATTTACCAAAACCTCAAGGAAACCGAGATATGAAGTTTCAAAAGATCTGAATGGGCCAGCCCGGTCCACCATTCAACGTAAGAAGATATGAAGAAATGCATTCAAATTTGGATACTTTATAAGTGTGTGTTTTTATCTGGAGTTGCGTGGATTTGTTCATATCATGCCAAGGCCGCGGATGTGAACACAGTACAAGTAGAAGTATAGGTAGATGAATGTAGCTTAGTAGATTCTTGAAAGGACACGATAGAAAGGAGAAAAGAAATCATAATACAGGGTTGCCAGGCTTGAGTAAACGTGTTAAACTAATCAAAATGGAGATAATTTTGCCAGTTGAAAATTAACCAAAGATTTTGGTCAAGATTTCCTCATAATTTTATTTATGGAGCCGAAAACTTTAAAAAAGCCTCCTCTACATCCTCGTTAATAATATCGTTCCAACACATCAATTGATTGAAATTTTTGCAATATGTTCAGCAGAAACGACAATAACAATGCCAAACATGTCAATTTTTAGGTAATATAGCGCTATTTTCTACTAATTTTTCCAGTTTCTCTTGGTCAGAACCAAGAGAAATCGCGACTCCCTAAAGTGAATTCATTTCTATCACTTTTAAGTAGAATTGATTTCAAGCATACTGCATTTCTTGACCACACCCACTTTTTACCACTTTCTCTCACAATTTATACTCCCCCAAACTCAAGATAATTATATTATAATAATTTTAAGGAGAAACCGCGATCTCAAAAATAATTCAAACGCATATACAGCTAATTGTCTATTTCTACTACTGCTGAGTGTGAAAGAATTATTTAAGCAATGCTAAACATCAGACTCATTATCACTAATTGAATAATGCTCTAATTACAATGCTCGGTTTTTCTCCTGAAAGAAAAATACCTAGTGTGCCTCTGCATAAGCAGCTGAAATACCGTCGCGTCTACCTAATGACAGAGTGAAAGAGGACTTTGCAATTTGCAATCGTCTAATTGTCGACAGCCGTGGTAAAATCAGTTATTATTCGTCGAGATACGATCAATTATGGAATAATTTGCCAATAGGGTGATTGGAGGTAATTGATCACTTTTACTCCGTGAATAAACGGTCGCTAGAATAGCAGGTCGGTGTGGAAGAACGAGCCTTATTTGACGGCCGTTTTACTTAGAAACGCTACAGGGGCCGCGTGCTTATACGGTTGCCAAATCCATGTATGATCGAGGCTGATCAGAAGCTTCATACTTCTTTGAAGTACCCACATACTAGGTGTGGACGAAAAAAACAGAATCAGCAATTGTGATAGAACGACTGAGCATAAGGTGAAAAACACTCACTGCTCATTTGAAAGAAGATTCTAGTACTGCTCTGACATAATTATGTTCTTCATAACTACTGTCCAAATTTGTTGCCGGCCGATACAAAAACAACACACTTTTTCCTTATAATTCTGGTTTTGTCATGCAATATGATACTCATTCACCACGAGGCCAGGACGTCATTGATGTATAAGGTTACATAAAAATCCACTGACATTGACGAAATGATCAGTAAACACTCATGGTACGGACCACAGTAAAGTCTGACCGTGTAACATTCATCTTTTGATGTGCCTATCTCGACGCGATGTTCCTATAAATGGCCTATGTACGAGATAAACAAGCCTACGCGGCGCGGGATAGAAGCACCCAGCAAAAAGGATCAAGATGCATTCACGGAGAATTGTCTGCATCTCGAGAATACTCATATTAAACTAAAATCAAGTCGACTTTGTTATTGCTATAGGAGTGTACCATTTTTGGTTTTTTCAAATCCGACCCACAATCAAAAAGCTCTGTCTCTAAATGGCGCGTGACTGATGGGTTAGGTACTAACACACGTCAAATATTCTTACCTCATTCTTGAGCTATTGGTGTTTTCCGGATTCTAATAACTAAATCACAATAAGATATTAGTATATGCATATATAGGATAATTTGCTTGTTTATACAAGAATTTGGAATGTTCACCAACCTGTGGTAAAATATATGCCGCACGCTCAATCGCCGTCTGCTTTCGACGCGGCCTGTGTGGAGGTATTTCCGTACCAGTACTTCTTCCATTAAGTCCATTTACTGGTGTTATCGATTACAGTAAACCATCTATAAATCGTCTACTACTCAATGACATCCTACAGTTTTTCGGTCTAACAAAGTACTGTTACGGACCAACCCGCATATCATCAAATAAAACCACTGTTATGTCCAAAACTTCAATCGATAACATGACCACGAACATCAACTCACAAAATCTGAAATGTACCATAGAAGATTTTTAAATATCCGACCATGCGGCGCAAATCTTAACGCTATCTTCCCTTATCGCCTCTAACAACAAATCTTCCGTCCAATCTTATACTGTGAGGAAAACTGACGATCGTAATCTCGAAGAACTGCGATTAAGTCAGTTCTGTGCTCTCTTGGACGTCACCAATTCTAACAGCAATGTGAACTGCAATGGGAGACTACTCGATTTAGTATTGACTAATTTTAATATTTTAGTGATAAGAGATTTTTACCCTTTAAGGAAGATAAGTATCATCCAACTCTCCAATTTAACTTTACGGTTGGGAGTATGGAAAATAATTTTAATTTGAAGACCGACTCTAGATATAACTTCCGTCGTGCTAATTATGTAGCCTTGTCTGTTTTGAATATTGATTGGTCACACCTCAAAGAAATGAATGAT